CTCTCAATGTGGAGGAGCAGCGGTTCTACTCTGAGCTCCTCCCGGGTGACCGAGCTCCTCACCCTATCTCTAAGGGTGCGCCCGGCCGCCCTGCGGAGAAAGCTCATTTCGGCCGCCTGTATCCGGTATCTTGCCCTTTCAGTCATGACCCAAAGTTCATGACCATAGGTGAGAGTCGGAACGTAGATTGACCAGTAAATTGAGAGCTCCTTCTTCACCAACCGGTACATCGACCGCATTACTGCAGAAGCTGCACCGATCCGCCTGTCAATCTCCCGTTCCATCCTTCCCTCACTCGTGAACAAGACCCCAACTGCTGCTCTTCTTCTCATTCTCTTTTTTTTTTTTTGCACACACCAATGCTCCAACTGTCCCCAGGCAATCCACTGATGGACTGTACTATTCTCTAAAGTATGGCACAACATAACTATAACCCGACCAGTTTTGGGAAAGGCTATAGACAGTGTTGGCACATTGATGCAGGTTGACCCTAACCCTTTATATATTCAAAAGCCAAACAGTGAAACCCTAACTGACCACCCATCTGAATTTAGGTCATTTTGAATGACACATTCTTGTTGTTGATATAGCATTAGTCTCTATTATATTTAAAAGAATGTTACCCTGTTACCAGATTTACAGTGCTTTCTAATGGAAAAGTAAAAAAGATGATCCAGTATTATGAAAAAAGCTGTAGATAAACTTCTCAAATATGTCAAGATACAACAGCATTATGTCTCTCAGAGAGGTTTTTAATGGATGACTCATGGAAAGTGCAAACCATTAGTCAAGCAAACTTTCAGACTTTTCAATTATTAAATTAAAACATTTAATCTCTGTTTCTGGTGGGTCCCCTTCAAAAGCATATGGTTTCTTTTATAGCTTTCATGAGTCTGGTTCTCAGTCATTCACGGGAGAACCTCATTTTGTTATTTGTTTTGCATTATTGCACAGTCTTTTACATTATTTTTGTTGTGCCACAGCCACTATTAACACCTGTGGCATAGCAGACAGATGTGTGTGTGTATGTAAACATTTAATCTTATCTCCTTGCTGTTCTTATGTAAATGTCAACATGGGATGGATTACAGTAACCATAAATCATTTTAACCAGTAAGAAAAGGCCACGAGTCCGCGTTAATACATAGATTATCCAAATCTGCTCCCATGTGGGTCTTTGCTGACCCCTGTGTGGGCTACAAGTCAGCTGTCACTGGCTGCAACGGGATCTATCTCTCCCTGCAGGACGCACAAGTCATCCTTCGTAGTATTTCATTAATATTTAATGCCGCTAATTTTTTATGTGCACACCCTTGTTATTTATTCGACCCTGCTTTCTTCTGCTCAGTGCTCTTGTAAATACACTGTGAAAGCAATAAATGACAGTGGCGTGGTATTATGTGATTCCCGAAAGCTTGCTGTTGCGTTTAGATTAGATGCTTCACACTTACTTGACGCGCACTGCTCACTGAGCAGTACCCCCATCCCCCCGTAATTCACTGTTCCCTCACACCCTCACCCTCCTACCTTTACTGCCCCCAGTAGCTCAGTCCTCTGGCTCGCCTGTACTCTCCACCCTCTCTGCCTTTGTCTTCCAAGGTCGACTTTGAGCTCTCGTTTGCAAAGAGACAGGGACAGCAGGTGCACTGCAGAATGCCGCCGCTGTTGTCTCTGTATGCGCATACTTGTGCGTGTACGTGTGAGCGACATGAACGTGTCTGAATGCATTTCAGCGGAGCTGCGGAGCGCCGTGTGCAAGTAAAGCTTCAGTGTTAGCCAATGTCTGCAGACCGTGGGCAGACGAGATGCCTTTGTTTCTCCCCAGCATGGCAGGGAAAGCTGCTTAGACTGCCAGGGTGGAGAGGGAGCTGCTGCTGCACCGGACTGTAACTGCTTCTAACTCCTTCTCCCTCCCCCTTCCCTCTGTCTCCTCTCTTTCACTGGATCTGATTTTTGAGAGCTAGATTTCAGAGGGAGCAGAAAGGAGGTCACTTTGAAAATTGCTGGAATCTACTGAAGACGCTGTCAGTCTTCTCTGTGAAAGCCTCTCTTTTACATCTCTCTCTCGCCTGTCTTTCTCTGATCCTCCTCCCCTCCTCCTCTTGCACCGGCCGGTTCCCTGCAGAGTCCCGGGTCCACCATGTCCTTGGCCTTCTGCGGGAACGAGAACAGCTCGGCGGCTTACAACGTGGACGGCGGGGTTCTGAACAACGGTTGTTTCCTGGATGCGCTCAATGTGGTGCCACATGTATTCCTCCTCTTCATCACGTTTCCCATTCTCTTCATCGGTGAGTGTCGCTGGGAGGTGAGCTCCTGAACCTCTTCACTCCACCACACACACACACAAACCACACAAATATCCGCTCAGATTATACAGTGGGCAATAGCAAAAGTCACGCATGGATCTGAAATCAGTTTTCTATCACCTATTATTTACATGATTACGCGATACATTCTGTTAAGCAAGTGCTCATCTGTACAGAGCTGTCTTAACAAGATGGTTCAGAAACATTAAAAGAAAGAGAATAAAAGAAGACAGAAAGCCTGGCCATCATCTGGATGCTGGTGTGCATTCTCCAGCGTTATACTCCCGGATGAAAAGCTTGACATAGCCTATTGTATGTTGGAAATGGGAAATGGTCCTACCCTGACGTCTGCAAGATGTTTAAAACGTCTTATTGTTAAAAGATGTTTCAAATTATATAAAAACACAGAAAACGCATTATGCAAATCTCCTGCAAGGCATAACAAAGTCGACATGCAACGATATTTTACCAGGATAAACAAAACAGAAAATGATTAGTACTGCTGTTATGGATAATCTAAATCTGAAATGTTAACTTAAGCCTTTTAACTCCTGAGACCTGTGACACTTCATCTAGTTTCCACTAACGCAGACAACCCTCCTCGGAGCTCTGTGAGAAAATATCACTGAATGTGTAACACTCGGTGGGAGTGTTGCAGAGCATACATGCCAAAATAAAAGCAAACCCTTACCCTCGACCAGTATTCGTTCTGCTATGTTTCTGTTCTCCATTGTTGGTAAGATGCTTGTTTTTTAGTGTACGCGCATGAAAGTCGGACGTATTCTCGCGAGGTTTGTGATTGACAGAGGCGGAAAGTAACTAAGTAGCTACATTTATTAATTGTATTTACTTAAATACAGTTTTGAGGTATTTGTACTTTACTTGAATGTTTTTATTTTCTACTACTTCATACTTTGACTTCACTACATTTTAGAGGCAAATATTGCACGTTTTACTACACTACATTTATTTTATACATTTAGTGGCTAGTTACTTTTCATAACCAGATTAATAAAAAAATACTGCATAATTATAAGACCTCATTGATCTATGAGCAGCAATAATTCAAATTAAATGCACATAAGCCAGTTACAACTAGCTCCCCCATTACCAGCTGCAGCATTAAATGTGATGTACACAAAAATGCATCAGTAATATAATAATATGATGTACAGGAATGTGAAATATGCCATTCTGCATAATGAGTATTTTAAGTATGTATTGGTGCTAATACTTGTGTACTTTTACTTGAGTAACATTTTCAATGCAGGACTTTTACTTACAGAATACTTTTGCACTGTTGTATTGCTACTTTTACTTAAGTACAGGTATGTGCCAAAAAATTTGAATATAGAGGGAAAGTCCATTTATTTCAATAATTTGTTTCAAAAAGTGAAACTTGTATGTTATATTAGTTCACTACACACAAAGTGAAATATTTCAAGCCTTTATTTGTTTCAATTTTGATGATTATGGATTAAAGACAAAAAAAACCCAAATCCAGTATTTCACAAAATTAGAATATTTCATGTGACCAATAAAAAAAGGATCTTAAACACATGTTGGCCTTCTGAAAAGTGTGTTAATGTACTGTATTATGTCCTCAGTACTTTGTTGGGCCTCCTTTTGCATTAATTACTGCATCAAGGCGGC